GTTCTTTTCACCACACTTCCGTCTTAATATCATTTGCACCGCACTAACTATTGCATAAATTTTGGCAATACCCAATCAATAAGGATCATCAAGATTCAATTCGTTTAAAGTGCCAACAATGAGGGGTAAGTAAATAAATGATTAGTTAAATTTCTTTAATGAAGTAGGTCTGGCAAGACTAAGACGTATAATGTGGATTTCAGATCATCCAAAAATTATCATTAAAAGTCATCATTTAAATAAGGACATAAATTTTCGATCGAAATCGAAGAACTTGCTGATGAGACGCACATTAACAATGGATACGTCCATGCTACGTTGACAGATTTCTGCCAGCACACATTTAGGTATGAATACATTAATTTCAGGCTAAACGCAGTAAACCTATTTTTATTTAAATTATTTACTATCCTGGTAGTGATCCATCTAAATTATAAATATAAATTAAAAAGATCACCGACGCTTTTCTTATTTTTTTCATTATTTATTGTTATACATACATATGCTAGCTTGCAAGCACTGTACTAAGTGCATCCTATAAGCTCTAGTCAAGTTTCTGCCCACTGACCTACTTCAGCCGGGTTTAATTTTCGATTTATATTACTCCTTCGTTGGCAACATTCTTAATATTAATTTATTGTTCTGAAGTGGCAACACTTTTCTTAGTTTACACAGATTTCGCCTTTTGGGAATCGGATAGCACCTAAGCGCTCACATCGTCTGACGGGGTGTAAAATTTGCGGGACATTCACAGCATGGTCGTTAAATATGTAACGTTGAAAATCGGGGATATGGCTTTGCCACAATAGGGGGATGCATTTCCTCACTCATTTCGATCTTCCGGCCAATCAGCATAGAGAAAAAAAAACACGAGCTCTGATTATACAATGGTGTAAGAAATTAAGAGAATTTATAGACTTGGTCAATTATCTCTTGAACTACTGAACCGATGTTAATGAAATTTGATATCTACATACATTGATACAATACAAAACAAATAATCATTCAACTATTGTAATACACACGCATGATCGCGCATAACATTCTTTGGAGTCGGAAGGTATGAAACAACGGTTGCAGAATAAACAAAAAAAAAATGGGTTAATTGGCGGTATGTTCCCCTCTTACAGATATACAGGCCTGCAGTGTGATTTCATACTTGAAATAAGGCAGTTTGTCATTTCCTGTAGCAATTGGCTTGAATTGTCCAGTGGCAATTTCATACCTTCCGACATACCTTTCCAATTTCATACCTTTCCAGTGTTACGTACGGGTTGTTGATACGGTGTTGGCACTAGTGTTACGCACGATCATGAGGTGTGTATTACAATAGTTGAATGGTTATTTGTTATGTATTGTATCAATGCATGTAGATATCAAATTTCATTGAAATCGGTCTAGTAATTCTGGAAATAATTGACCAAGTCTGAAAATTCTCTTCATTTCTTACAACAGTGTATTTGCTTGCTTATCAAGCTCTCTTAAATTAATTTATTCACAAGTAAAAAATGAAAACTAGTTACTATTTTAACAGGCCACTCAGAGTTCTATCATTTATTAAATTATATTTACTCAAACTAACACTATTGTAACTTCAAAATCATCTTTTCTTTTCAATTTGTTTAACAAGCTATTTTATTTAAATGAAAAATTTATACCAAAATAAGAAGTGCTCTGGGTTACTATAAGATGAATTTGTATTCATTTTTAATAATTTATTGATCTANGCTAAATAATGAGAACATAGGATTTTCAAATTCGACTGTGTTTATTTCGGAGCTATTTTGACACACTTTTATTCAAATTTGAGAAACTCTTTTTTTCAGTGGCTGACCAATATCTGCCAACCATTGAGAATACTTCAATTTCGGCTCGAGCAGGGAACGGAATTCGTATCGTCCAGAAGTTTTCTTGATTCTGAATCCCCGAAAATCACTATATCCCCTTCGCAATCACGACTTCTGTCAAACATTTCATTCTAACTAATATTCGTCACTCGTTGTAATCCAAGCTTTACAGTTTCAGTTAATATTTATCATTCAAATTCAAAATTTAGATCGTCAATCCCGAACCACAGACTGAACATAAAACGCTATTTGGCATTATTTTAGCAACCCAATTATCGTTATTACTGTTTTTGTTAGTACTGGCATTATTTAAACATTATTTATTTGGCAATATTTCAGCAACCCAATTATCGTTATTACTGTTTTTGTTAGTACTGGCATTATTTCAGCATTATTTATTTGGCATTATTTTAGCAACCCAATTATCGTCATTACTGTATTTGTTAGTACAGGCATTATTTTAGCATTATTTATTTGGCATTATTTTAGCAACCCAATTATTGTCTTTACTGTTTTTGTTAGTACTGGCATTATTTATTTGACATTATTTTAGCAACTTAATTATCGTCATTACTGTATTTGTTAGTTCTGGCATCATTTTAGCATTATTTATTTGGCATTATTTTAGCAACCCAATTATCGTAATTACTGTATTTGTTAGTGCAGGCATCATTTTAGCATTATTTATTTGGCATTATTTCAGCAACCCAATTATCGTTATTACTGTTTTTGTTAAAACTGGCATTATTTCAGCATTATTTATTTGGCATTATTTTAGCACCCAATTATTGTCATTACTGTATTTGTTAGTACAGGCATTTTTTTAGCATTATTTATTTGGCAATATTTTAGCAACCCAATTATTGTCATTACTGCTTTTGTTAGTACTGGCATTATTTTAGCATTATGTATTTGACATTATTTTAGCAACCTAATTATCGTCATTACTGTATTTGTTAGTTCTGGCATTATTTTAGCATTATTTATTTGGCCTTATTTTAGCAACCCAATTATAGTCATTACTGTTTTTGTTGGTACGTGATTTTTTTAAAAAATACTCTTATAAAAGTACTCTTATAAAAATATCTAATCTTAATTTTTTGTGCACAACACAATTGAGCGCAAAAACTCGGTTTCTTAATCAGTATGGGGGATTATTCCAAATGATTTAATTTATTTTGTCATCCTAAAACAACTGCTATTGACTATTTTTTTATTGGTGATGAGCGAGAACACGCAATGTACTTTTCACCACACTTCCGTCTTAATATCAATTGTACCGCACTAACTTTTGCATAAATTTTGGCAATACCCAATCTATAAGGATCATCAAGATTCAATTCGTTTAAAGCGAGAACAATGAGGGGTAAGTAAATAAATGATCAGTTAAATTTCTTTAATGAAGTAGGTCTGGGAAGACTAAAGCGCATAATGTGGATCTCAGATCATTCAAAAATGATCATTAAAAGTCATCATTTAAATAAGGACCTTTACTTTCTATCGAAAATCGAAGAACTTGCTGATGAGACGCACATTAGCAATGGATACGTCCATGCTACGCTGACAGATTTCTGCCAGCACACATTTAGTGAAGAATACATTAATTTCTGGCTAAACGCAATAAACCTATATTTATTTAAATTATTTACTCTCCTAGTACTGATCCATATAAATTATAAATATAAATTAAAAAGGTCACCAATACTTTTCTTATTTTTTTTCATTATTTATCGTTACACATACATATGCTAGCTTGTAAGCACAGTACTAAGTGCATGTTATAAGCTCTAGTCAAGTTTCTGCCCACTGACCTATTTCTACCCGGTTTAATTTTCGATTTATATTACTTCTTTGTTAGCAATATTTTTAACATTAATTTATTGTTCTGCAGTGGCAACACTTTTTTTAGTTTACACTGATTTCGCCTTTTGAGAGTTGGATACCACCTTAAGCACTGCTCACATCGTCTGACGGGGCGTAAAATTTGCGGGACATGGTCGTTAAATATGTAACGTTGAAAATTGGGGATATGTGCTTTACCATAATAAGCTGATGCATGTCCTCACTCATTTCGATCTTCCGGCCAATCCAAAACATCCGCATAGAGAAAAATTTAAAAAAAATTAATACGAGCACTGATTATACATTGGTGTAATTAAGAGAATTTGCAGATTTGGTCGATTATCTCTAGAACTACTTAAGTGATTTTAATGAAATTAGATATCTACATGCATTGATACAATACAAAACAAATAATCATTCAACTATTGTAATACGCACGCATGATCGCGCATAACATTCTTTGGAGTCGGAAGGTATGAAACAACGGTTGCAGAATAAACAAAAAAAAATGGGTTAATTGGCGGTATGTTCCCCTCTTACAGATATACATGCCTGCAGTGTGATTTCATACTTGAAATAAGGCAGTTTGTCATTTCCTGTAGCAATTGGCTTGAATTGTCCAGTGGCAATTTCATACCTTCCGACATACCTTTCCAATTTCATACCTTTCCAGTGTTACGTACGGGTTGTTGATACGGTGTTGGCACTAGTGTTACGCACGATCATGAGGTGTGTATTACAATAGTTGAATGGTTATTTGTTATGTATTGTATCAATGCATGTAGATATCAAATTTCATTGAAATCGGTCGGTCCAGTAGTTCTAGAGATAATCGACCAATCTATTAATTCCTTACAACCGTGTTCTATTAATTTCTGACAGCAGTGTAATTGCTTGCTTAACAAGCTTTATAGAATTAATTTATTCACGAGGAAAAAATGAAAATTAGTTATTATTTTAACAGGCCACTCAGAGCTCTATAATTTATTAAGTTATATTTACTCACACTAACACTGTTGTAATTTCAAAATCATCTTCTCTTTTTAATTAGTTTAACAAGCAATTTATTTTATTTAAATGAAAAATTCATACCAAAAGAGGAACAGCTCAGGGTTACTATGGCATGTATTTGTATTCAGTTTTAATAATTTATTGATCTATTGTTGAGCTATGTAATTATTTTAGTTGTTTTAATCTGAGCTGTACGATATGTCCTACTTTTGATTGAAACAATCGAATTGAGAATTCATTCGAAAAATGGTATAAATTAAAATGTTCTATTTTATATTTTGATTCAAAATTTGTTTCTAGGAACAAGAGATCTATTGTGGAGGTTGATAATCCTAGAGAAACTTTACAAGTTCTTGGAAATCTAGCTCAGCGAATAATAGAAGCTGAAGGAATTACAAAGTAATATTTTTTTACTAATTAAGTGCAACCAAGATATTACAAATTTCACGAGATTCATACAGTGTTTACATTTGTTAGAAATCAACATAATGTTTTTAGTGCTCACCCTTTTTTTAATTAAATAAACACAAATGCAATGATAAATTTCATTTAATTAAATATGAATTTAAAATTGTTTGTTTGAGAGTCAGTGAATAAAAGTCGCTGATGCCTCTTAATGTATGAAACTGGTTGATATCTCATTAAGAAGACAGCATATTATTTCATACTTCTAAACTGAAATAAACAGATTTCACTACATTCATGAGACTGAAATGATTATCCAATTTAAAATGCATACAAGAGTTTTATTTTTGTCGTGTATTTAAAAATAAGCAAAATAATATTATTTGTCATGAGAGTAAAAATTAATGAAGGGAGTGAAAAGTAAAAAAAATAATGTAAATACTACAGTATTTTATAACTGAGAAAGCGCAGAAGCAATTTATTTATATATTTTTACAAGATTATGCATCATTATGTTTTAATTCAATATTAATAATCAAAGTATATAGCAAGGCTTTTCTTAATTTGTTGAGAAAAAATTAAATTAGAGTGCATTTTTAAGGAATTTGAATTAAAGTTACAGGTAAGATAAGCAAAATTTTCAAATGCATTAAATTATTAAGTTTTATGAGTAACAAAAATGTGAATAAATGAATTAATTATTCAAATTAAGAGTGAGTTAAATATTTAAAATAATTTTCCAGTTTAAATTAATTACTTTAATCTAATTGCTATTCTACAAGCATGTAAGACGGAAAACAAAATGACTCAATCGCATACATTTAAAATTAAGAAAAATAAATTAGAGCATCAAGTAAAAAAAAGAACTAATTTTACTATATATTAAAGATAACTAAGTTTTCTCAATTACTGTTTAAGGTAAATGAATTATTTTAAGAATTATATTTCTATTATACATTATTTTATTCCAAATGTACAATTTTATTAATCTATAACTATGTCACCTTCTTAAGAGCTATAGAGCAGCCCGTATGATTTTTTAACAAGTTTCATAGTTCTTAATTCTCAAACAAGTTATCTAATGTTAATTTTTTTATTCCATTGTAATTACTGTACATTTTTACCTTTGTAATTTCAAGTTTCTAAGTCTTATAGAATTTAATCAAAAAAGCAAAGTATAACGTAAGGCAAATAAAAATAAGAAAAAGAATGCAAAAAAGTGATTAAAATTACGAAACAAATAAACAAATTAGAATTTCAAAAAAATCCTTGACAAATCGTAGACAAATATGGTCTTTTCACTTGCTAAATTTCAACTTTGTATTCTTATGACCTTTAAAGCTGCCCGTATGATATTTTTTTCAGCAAGTTTAACAGTTGTCAACTAATTATCGAGCGTTAATTATTTTATTCCATCGTGATTCCCATACATTTTTCTACTCATCTTCGTAATTTCTATTTGTTAAGTCTTATAGTTTCTGACAATAAAACAAAATGTAACTCTAATAAAAATCTAAAACAGCAGCAACGATAGCCTCAGTAGCCTTTGCGATTTTTTAATATAGAGAGAAATGTATCTTGAATATCGTTGGCTTTAAGTTCGTAATTAAGCTTCAATTAAAAATCAAACAATTTTCAATTTTGCAATTAATTTCTACAATATTACATTTTAAATTACTGGACAAATTTTTCAAGCAGAAATGGGAATCGTTTCAATTTTTTTTCATTTTTATTCAATGTAAAACTGTTTTTATAATTAAACTCTACAATCAATGAGAATTAAATAGTACTTTGATTTAACAACAAATCGAGGTATAGCGAAATTAAACTTCAGAATTATGTCACAAAAATTGCATACTTCCTCCAAAATAATGAATTTTTAGCAGTTTTCTATTATTTTAATTTATGCTATTTTTTAATATAGAGAGAAATGTATCTTGATTATTATTGACTTTAAGTTTGTAACCAATCCTTAATTTAGAAATAAAATACTATATTTCTTATAATTAATTTCTGAAATATTACATCTTAAATTATCGTACAGATTCTTCAATCTGAAATGGGAATCGTCTTAAAATTACTTTTAATTATTTTAATGTAGAACTTCGTACAAAATTAAACTCTGTAATTAATGAGAATTATGTAGTATTTCTATTTAACAACAAATCGAAATGTAGCAAAATTAAATTTCTGAATTATGTCACAAAAATTATATACTTCTTCCACATTAATGAATTTTTAACAGTTAGGCATTATTTTAATTTCTTTAAATTTAATTTATTTTTGCTGTCTTAATTAACTAATGCAAAATTTTCTTTTCTTATATAATTTTTAAGAAACATCTGAAATCAATTTAATGTAATATTCTACTTTTTATGCCATTAAGATAAATTTACTTACGTCATTCAGTAATAAATCATGTTAAAAAAGATAACTTTCGAAATTCTATGCATGTTTAAATAGTTATAAATATATTTCTGAAAATGTAAAAAGCATAATGTAACATTATTAATTTTTGACCGTTCAATTTTTATTAAAATTGATTTTATATACTAATATTTTCAAATAATTACATTGATAAAACTTTTTTATTATTTTAAACTTCTTAATCTATAAATAGGAAAAAAATTATCAATGAAAAGCATAATAAAAAACAAAATCCATCTATTATCAGAATTATTTAAACTCCGCAAAGTACAAAGGTTCATTTTGGGTCTTTTTTCTTAGTGATCCATGTTTTGTTTTTTTAAATTTAAAGTTACGTCATTTTTATTATGCTATAAAAAACTTAAAGATAACGTGGCTTCATAATGTATTGTAAGCAAACAATATATCAAACGAAGATAACTCTAAAATTACGAGGAAAAGTTAAGAACCTTTATTGTACCTAAAGTAAACGTATAAAACATGCGGAAATTAATATTTAAACAAAGAGTATTTTTAAGCAACTTTTATTTTACTTTAAAAATAGATGAATGATTATAAAGAAAATATTACATAAATTAAAATAACTGTTTTCAGTCGCATAGGTTAATGTTTTAATACACTAGTTATCTAAAAAAATGCATGCAATGTTTCAACATAGAATTCTTTCAAAACATCCAATAATATGATAATGAATTACATCGTGATAATAATCTTATTGTTTTAAACATTTTTAAGAAAATTAAAATTTCTTTTACACTTACATTGATCGGAATTTCCATTCGTGAAAATAATATTTTTTCTTTAAAGTTATGTCAACGTCGTGATCTGTGTCGTGATCAGTGTCATACATCTTTATTTTGAAAAAAAAAAAACAAATTACATTGGTTCAGTGTAGATTAAAATCACAAATAATTTCAATTTTTATTAAAATGTTTAAAACATTTGCATCAATATGCTTAATATAATGAATATATTATCGAAATTATTATGTTCACAATGTTTGAATTTCAAACATAGTTAAACTAAGTCTTTAAAAAAACACTTGTCGTGATTTCTTTTTAATTAGAAATTTTTAATAATTTTCTTTTCAGTTTTAACAAATATCTTCTCAATTTCAAATTCTTCGTGTAAACATCTTACAGCAACTTGAAATTAATGTGAAACATTTTATTCAGAGAGAGTAACAAAGCCAAAAACAATATTTTTATGAAGTTCACATAAATTATTAAATAAGTTTCATTAACATTTTATCAATTTATGCGCAGCAAAAACTTCTTTTAAAGATATTAAGTTTGAGTAGTAAGCGTCTTAGGCAGTACTAGACATTCTTTATTGAGGGTATAAAAATAAACTTCATTTAAGCTTGATGAACTTTAAGTAACAAAAACAATTTTTGACTGATGTTTAGAAAATTTTAATAATGTGCTTAGATCTAAAATTGTTTATTTATGATAAAATTTATAGGTGTGCGAAATTTTAATTTAAATTGAGCAATTTACATGGGATGAAGACTGTTTTTCATAGAATAAATCCAGATATTAGTACTTTATATATGGTGCAACTTTATATATGGTATGTCAGCATAAAAAAATGTAGATATTTAAAACGTGTTTTATACATATTAAAACATTGTTTACGGGATGATCTGAAATAATTATGCTTAATATTTAAATTCCTATACGAGACAAAAAGGAATAAAATAATATAATAGAAACCTGCGGATATAATCGCTTGAGCTGATGACGAGTTTATATTTTATCCTTATTTTGCTTCCCAGCTTATTAATTTTTTTCAAATTTTTAAATTTTTTAAAAATAAATTTTGTAAAAATATGTTTTATAAAAATATTTTATTAATCAATAATTTTCTTTGCCTCCAAAAATGTATATATTTTTTCTCATGTTTTCTTAGTATCTCAGGGAATGAATTTTTATTTTTTTCCAACTAATAATAGTCAACAAAATGAAGCCAACTCATGACAGTCAAAAATTAAAATAATTAAGCGTGTTTCTCTGGTACTTAGCCCTTTAGAGTGCCTGTGAAACATCTCTTTCCACATATTTTAGTGATGGAGTTAATTTCTTACTATATTTTATATATATAT